TTTTACATTTTTCCAAACTTGATTTTTTCTAAAACAAACAATGCGAAAATAATCCCATTAACTGTTTTTGATGTTTTCTCAATATTATTATTGTTTTTAGTACACTAAAAAGTAATTTTACAAATTAAAGAAGGATGTACAAACATGTATGAACATATGTCATACATAATTATATATGTTTATGAATATTTATATATGTTATGTATGTTTATACATATTTATATTAACGCATAAAGTTTTTTACCCCGCAATGGTCAATTTTCTACGACTTGAAATCTTACGACCGCTACGACTTCTATTGTAGACACCATATTAGTTACTCGAGTAAAGTTTCGAAACGCAGACCGATAATTTCCTCTCGCCGAATAGAGTAGGTATATGTATTTTGTAGGTTATATTAGTAGAAAACCTTCCATTTCCATTTATTTTCAAAAACCTTCCTTCGACCTTTCGATATCTCGGGTCTTAAAACTTTCCAAATGAAGGAAAACCTTCCAATGGAACAACACTGGGCGACTGGGCAACTTCGGGCGACTTGTAGCAGTTGCAGCATATTCGGCCCGAGCGGGTTGGCACTATTGGTTTCTGCACATTGGACGCGGAAACGCTTGCCGCGCGGCAAAATGTAACGCGGTAACCAATTAGCTTACAGCTCTTAACATGTTCATTGGTTACCGCATCGCATTTTGCCGCGCGGAAGCGTTTCCGCGTCCAGTATGCAGGAGCCATATGAGATCCTAGAAATAGGAGTCCGGCCAATAATGTCTTCATTCTCATTGGCTAGGAAAGGATATGGCACGACCAATCGTTGCTGTTGAAAGTCGCTTCCTTCCAAGCGCAGTATAATTTGGAACATGGAAATGTGAAATAAAAATGTTATCACAATTCCACGATCCAAATCATAACCTTTTTGTGCCCCTTATGGACGCATTTTATTTCTAACTAGAATATTGACCGAACTCCTATTTCTAGAGTTTTTAGTTTGCAACCTGGGTTGGATTAATGACGGAAAATTAATGGAATAACATCAAGAATATTTTATTCTAAATTTTAGAATTTTCCATTTAAGAAAAAAATATTTTTTTCTGAAGAATAAATACTATTGGCTCTATTATCGATCTTACTTTATTCTAGATCGAGGAGTAAAAGCATTGAATACAGAAATTTTTTCTGTGAGTGTAAAATCTATTTTTATAAAATATTAAAAAAATATTTCTGTAAAAATATAAAAAAATAACGATATATATAATATAAGAAAAAAAATTAACTTCAATTTTATCAAACAATCGCGCGTATATAAAATGGTTATAATTATCCGCTTTTTAATGGAAACAGCAAAAGCAGGATTTTCTTTCGGTTTTTAACAACTACTATTATACGTTCTTAAGTATTTTTTTAAATTATATATTATATATTTACGGATACTTAATTCTATATAGCGATATAACACGTGAATATATTTTCCGCGGATACTTGTATCCCTCGCTCCTGAGAAATGAAGAACGCAAAGATGTAGGTGAAGGTCTTGAGAGTTCGTCCACGTCGAGAGTTAGCACCACGACGATCCCTACTTAAATTGACCAGCCAGCCGAGCAACTGGGTTACTTTGGTGTATACCGTCCAACAGTCGACGTCTTTCTCGTTTCAAACTTGGTAACTGTGCGTTAAAATTCGACGTTTGGATCTTCAATATCGCGGATAAATCCAAATCGAGTCATCGTCAAGCGGAATTAAGATAGTGCAACTTTTTATAGTCTATTAACTATTAAAAGTCTGAATCGGCTAGATGATTTCGATTTGAAAAAACCCACAATCAGCTAAGCAACGACTGAAACTCTCTGAAGAAACGAGAAGAAAAAAGGAACAGAGAGCGATCGCTGGAAGAAGGGCAGCTAAAAACAGCAAATTGAATTAACCAAGTATTAATTATTATGGTTATTAATAAGTGAACAAGAATTAATTTTAAAAAACTTTCTGTAATTATGTGCAATTTTAAATGAATGTGATGGCAAATTAAAGGCAAAAGCTTTTAAATATATGGAAATAACTAAATAAGAATGCTCACTAATATGAGAGCATTTTGAAATGAGCTTGTCTCCCTTAATAGTTAATCAAAAAGCAGTAGTATCTATTCAAATGCGAAATGAACTTCGCACTTAATGGAAAGGAAAATGCTTAAATGGAATAAAGAGAAAGCGTACATCGAAAAGGCCAAGAGTAAAATTTATCAAGTTATGAAGAAAGAAGTAAAATTTATCAAGTTGATCGTATTTAATTAAAAAATTGAATTATAGGTAGAGAGCTTGTTGTATAAGACGCAGTTTAGAGCTTCTTCTCTCGGATAGAGGATTAACTCTTGTTACATCCGTCTGCAAAAGTGTGTTTGGCGAGCGTGAGTGGTAAAAGTGGATCATTGTAACCCGTCTATCAAGTTCGCACGATAATATCCTCGCGGTAGTATACTCTAAAAAGTGTTGGTGTAGATTTAACATCACGATGCGATGTCTATATAATTCTCTCTATGTTAATATACACGAGGGATTATAAATCTACATCATGTTGCTAATATTAACACTAACACGGTGAGAATTTTAAATTATATGCATAGATTACCGCATAGTGTTGAATACACACCAATATTAATTGTAGAGTGTACTGTCTTTTCCATCGGCAATAGAGATACCCTTCCTCTGGAGTAACACGTTTCGTTACAGTAAACGATAATAATCGTGTTAAATGACGAATGACGGTGTAATAGAAAACTGAAAATTTTTCATATTGACTATAGTATACCTAGTTGAATCTGTAATCGAATATATACGTATATAGAAATTTGGAATTTGTTCGCTTTAAGATGCACGTCATGTGCGTTACAAAAACTTGTCAATACCACTGGATTACTATGCCGTGTTTTCTCATGACGTGATCTTGAATAGAAATGATATTGCGTTTATACGGTATTGCACTTTGAGTATCGTGACAGGATAGAAAGTCGGATCTGAGCGGGCGGTGAATATAGCACACCGCGAAACGCGCGTGTTCCCATTGCAGCAACGAAGCCCCTTCGTTTATTACTTCCTTCCAATGTCTCACTTTCGTTTCACGAATCGCTTAAGCATCGGCACACTTGCGGAGAATTTTAAGTAGTTGTTGGGTAATAGCTTTCGGATTCAAAGCTCCTGAAATAGCTAAAAAGAATCAATATTTTTATATTTTATGAAGGAGAACTTTTGTCAACATTCTTGTACGTTGATTAAACTTAACAAAGGCTTCTCTGTACCTTTCTGCGAGTTAAATTAACTTCCGATTAATTAAATTTCTTATATAATTGTCGCATTGTGATATGCGCAATACAATTTAAATACATAAAAACAAAAATGTTTGCTCAATACAATTAATTTTAAAGTTGTGTAATATTAAAATTATATTACACTTGATTCTAAATGTTTTGATTAGAACGTAACTTTAAGCTGATATTACTAAAAATTAAATCAGACATTAAGCTTATTATGAGAAATAATTTAAATTATCCTTCTTACTGGTTCATACAATATAAAAATTAATGAAAAAGTTATAATAGATCTTTCTTCATTCATCTTTTTCTACATTAAAATTATATATAGTAAAATTTTCATTGATAATCACAAATTAAATACTAGTGTATATATATATATATATATTGTTTGTAAGGTTTAATTAATTTAATTCATTAATACATGAATAAAAAGTGTCAGTACGATAAAATATGATTATCGTGTGTAAGACGAAAAGTCTGATTTTATAAAGATATATTAAAGTAAAAAGAAAATATATATTGTTATTTTAAATAAATTTAATGTTAATCAGCAGTCAGTAATACTTATATCTTGGCTATATTAACATAATTCTCTATCCGTCTGTATATACATTGTAATATTTCTATGCTTTACCAGTTTACTTGATGCTTTCTCTTTACGTTCCATGCCATATTAACTGCTAGCGAACCGGAATAATTTGACCATGATTCGCTATTTGATTTTCTCATCTCTCATTGCTTTTATATATGTCAACTATGTTTAATTAAATAAAAAAGGTCTAACGTTTATAAAAACTGATATTCTAATTTCACCAATAATATAATAATTAAACAACTTTAGATTATGATAATGTGTGTATGTGAGATGCTCTTTTTCCATTGAATAGATATTCAATCAAACAGTTTAATGTCAGCTAGATTCTCTTCTATTAAGAGGGCAAATTACTTTATGGAGTAAAAAATCGATTTTTAAGAAATTGTTTTTTAAATATCTATATAATCTCTATTATAGTTCTAAATTTATAGTCTAGGGGAGAATGGGGGAATGCGGCGCACCTAAGGAAAAGTGGAATATTTACTATGAAAAACGTTTTAAACGCAATAAAAAATAAGGTAAAATTAAAGTTGAACTTCTCATCTATCACTGTATTTCAGATTTAATAACATTTTCAACTTGTAATATATGAAATTATTGCATTATAAAAGAAGTTTATTTGCGTCGTATTACCCAGCGCATCGTGTAATGTGGAGCACTACGGTTTCTATATCAAAGGATCATTGGAATAAATACCTTTTCCTAATTTTGTGTTGAATTTTAGTTAAAAATTTCAATAAGAATGTAATATTTATTTTATTCAATTATTAACGAGCATGCAAAAGCTTAAGAAAATCAGCCAACGTTAAAACTTTCTGAATAGATTGTCAATATGAGGTTAAATGAGGGATGAACAATGTTACAATAATTTTTATTCTTTATTCAGCATAAACCTATCGTTTGAAGATAGATATTCCAAGTAAATTACTTTTAATTTTTCAAAATAAACATTTCAATAAGATAAACAACATAACATATCATATACATTCTAAATATCAAAAATATAAGTGATATCACAGGAAAATCAATTTATAATCAATCTTACAGTACTTATTTGTAAATAAAACTTTACTGCGCCATTTTAAGTAATATTAAATTAAATCTCTTCATAGAATGTTAAGAATATTGCAAATAATTTTTTTAAATAAATCACATTCTTAAATAATTAAATAATTCTAATATTAAATTTAAATGTTTGTGTTCGCTTTCATTTTTTTCACTATTTTCTTTCTTTTCCATTTTCCTTTTCTCCTTCATCTCTCTTTTTTTATGAATTTCTTCCTCTTTCTCTGTTTTCTTTTTTTCTCTTAGTTCCCTTTTTAGACGAATTTCTTCAATTTTCTCCGCCTTTATCTTTAATTTTAATCTATCTTCTTACGCTTTTCCTCATCTTTTTGCATCTTAATATTTTTCTGTAAATCTTTTTTTATCCTTATCTGTTCAGCATGCCTTGCCTTTTCCTCTTTCTTTCCTTTTTTAATTTCCAACATTTTTTGAACAGGTGATGAAGTTAATATTTCTGAATGTTGCTTCTCTCTATTTTGTTGTGAAGATGGATTTGGCAATTTTTTTGCCGAAGGGCACATTTCTGTCAGGCTTATTTTAAAATCTTGAATAACTGCAGAGTTTTTATTAGTTTCATTCTGACCAGTGTGTTCATTCTCATAGAGATTTTTATTTTTTTTGTCTTCATTTTCAATACAATGCTGATTTATAATTGAACTGGCATCAAGTTCCTTGTTTATTGCAAATGTGACAGTTGAATTGTCAATAGCGACTAAAGTTTCCTCATTTACTACAGGAATATAATCATCAAATATAACCTGTGCACTAACTTGATGATCAACGAC